CTTCACCTTGAGGAGGGATCTAGGTGAGTTAGGAACAGCTCAACAAGGCAACCCCAATGATACCAGGCACAAAGGGGGATGAGCAAAGTAGCAAAACTTGACTTCCTGTACAATGCAAGTTGAGCAGTTCACAAAAGAAAAGAATGACTAGATTTGGATCCATGGAAAATAAAGGATGCTCTTTGTCATTCAAGAGGTGATTTCTGACCAGGGATTAGAAACACATTTTAGAGTTCTGAGAAGTAAATTCATACTCATCCTCTTTATTGGTTTTTGTTTTTTTCTTTGGGTTGGAAGCCCTAACCACTGTGCACCAGAAGAGGGTCTGCTGGCAGGAAAGCCAACAAACTCACAGGAGACAAAAGACATTCTTGGTTTGATTGCTCCTAATAAACTTCAGTGCTTCCAGACCACATATGTCAAAGAATTATTTGTAATGCTTCTTTAAAAGGGTGACAGAGTTCAGAAATACACTCACTGCACATGGTAAGAAGAGCCTCCCATGGGTTATCCCTTCAAAATGAGTTGCAAGGCATTGGGAGTGGTGGCGGTTTCCGGCCATTAGTGTTACTAATCAAGGCCAGCTTTGCATTGATGGGAATTTACATAAATCACGACGATACATGGGCACTCACTCCAGCAACCCTGCCTGGTTTCTTCGAGGTTACACTGAAACCAAACTTTGCCCCAGTCTTGGCTGATTGGAATATTTCATTGTCTTCATCTCTCTCTTAGAGATGGTGTCCCTGAAGTAGAGTCCAGCGGTCACAAAATCATATATAGTGCTTCATGCCCACACAGAACAATTACTGTCAACTCTCAATTAACCTCGTTACTGGAGGAAGCATTAGTGGAGAAAATACAAATCCCAGATAACCTGCACATCTCTTTCATGCTGCCATAGTTGCCGTTGAGGTGAGAGAGAGTGGGGGAAGAGAGATCAAGGGAGCAGCAGAAAAAAAGTGGGGCCAAGAGGTCTCCAGGAAAATTTAAGCAGTGGGAGCAGATTCAGTAGCCACTCTTTCCTCTCTTTCAGCCCACCTCCTTTTTGATTTCTATAGAGGCAAAAATACTATCACTTTTCTAGAAACCTCTGACTGACAAGAAAAAGACAAACAGCTGTAGGGGAAAGCCATCTCATTTGAAGCTGGTGGTCACCCTGGTGTCTGAGCCAGGAGGCCCGTAAGGACACAGCTGGGCTGTATTTATTTATATTTTGGGTTTGCAGGGCCATGTCTGGTAGCATTCAAGGCTTACTCATAACTGTGCTCTAGAGTCACTCCTAGTGGTGCCAGAGATCAAAGCAAGAACCTTAAACCCAAAACTGGTGCTCTAGCCCACAGGTAGGTTTTAAATGGGGACTTGACACCTCCCTTCTTAGGAAGCACAAGTCATGCCTAGGGTTCTCCAGCACAGGGAGAGTGTTCAGTTTTTCCTACTAGGATTTGGTGTCAACCAATATGGTAGAAGGTACTTACAGACGCTTTAATCATTGACACACATGATAAGCAATCTTACACTATGATTCCTGCAGGTAGACCTATAAGTAACTATGTGATGGGCATTAATGCTATTCCCGTCTGTCTATAATGAACCCGTTAAGCTGGATATCTACTTCCCTGGCCAGGAGCCATAGGAAGAATACAGATGATGCCTCTTCAAGTGAATTCTATTAGTACTGCTCCAGAAAGGATCTTCATTTTAATAAGGAAGAGAATCTCAGTGATAAAAGAAAGCAATCGAATTACAGAACCTGCCGGGCATTTTTTGGGTGTGGAAGACACAGAAGGGGAATATGAAAGCTTGGAGTCATAGCAAAGACAATGGAACACTGGAAAGGAAAGATGGGAAATAACCTTGGAGGGAAAGTTAAACATCAAATATAATTTGATGCTAAATTATTAGGATTAAGATCCTCTAATAAAAAATTAACTGCACAACCCCTGTTTAAATGAAAACTTGTGATAAAATTAATAAGGGCTAGAAGAAAGCAGTTATCAGATTCTACCCACTCAAAAAGCATTTTGGTTCATGGAGAGTGAGAAATCAGATGGAAAGTAGGTAATTAGATTTTAATATATCAAAACTAGATACAGAGGGGTATCTAAATTTACTAGCAAATATTGGTCAGGATTCTTAATATTAGAAAGAGAGCAAATAAACAGGAAGATTATGAAAATGTAAATGTTGGCTGTAATACCTCAGTGGGCATGGAAGAAAGGGTTTAAGAAATCAGTGAAGCTGTATGTCTGATTCATTTATTTACTCTTTATGGAGTACAGAGCTCATCAGCCAGGGAAGGCGAACACATACAAAATCGAAGAGTGATGTCATGGCTTCTAATTAAAGTGCAGGGGATTAAGGATAATTTTGCTTCTCTTCAGTCTTTCAAATCAGAGACAACAAACAAAATAGTGAATACGGAGGAGATAAGAGGTATAATCAAAGAAGCAAGCCAAGAAAAATAACTGCATTCATTTTACAAGCCAGGCACTAAATTTAAGGGCATTGACCATTATTTCAAGGTCTTCAGCAGGTGCACATAGTGTCTGGCCAAAGAAATGTCAGAAACTGTCTAGAGGGTACATGTCACTGTCACTGTCACTGTCCTCCCATTGTTCATTGATTTGCTCGAGCAGGCCCAGTTACATTGTGAGACTTTAGTTACTGTGTTTGGCATATCGAATACATTATGGGGAGTTTGCCAGTCTTTGCCATGCGGGCGAGATAAGTAGCTTGCTGGGCTCTCCAAGAGGGGCGGAGGAATCGATCTCAGGCCGGCCCGGTTGGCCTCGTACAAGGCAAACGCCCTACCCGCTTTGCTATCACTCCATGTGATAAGGCCTATATGAGAGTGGCAAGTCTCACAAGTTAGGATTCAGAAACACCTTTTGACACAACAGACCAAAAGAACCAGGTAGGCAGAGCTAAGAGAAAACATGTTAACATTGTATTATTAGTATTTCGTTCTTACTGTATTCCTTCTAGCCAAGGGAGAATTCCAGATTATATAAATTGCTAGGGAGCAATGGATAAAAAGAAATAACAACAAAAATAAGAGTTGCATTTTTTCTAGATACTTTTTAAAAATTGTACAGAAAGAGTACAGCAGTAGGGCGTTTGCCTTACACGCAGCCAACGTGGCCGATCCGAGTTCAATTCCTCCACCCCTCTCGGAGAGCCTGGCAAGCTACTGAGAGTATCTCGCTTGCACGGCAAAGCCTGGCAAGCTATCCATGATGTATCCGATATGCCAAACACAGTAACAACAAATCTCAAAACATGGAGGATGTTACTGGGCCCACTCGAGTAAATTGATGAACAATGGGAGGACAGTACAGAAAGAGCAAATCTTTACATACTAGACTGATGGAAATTTTCTCTTAAATGACTATGCCAACAGAAAATGTTTGAATTTCCTACAGTGAGTCCAAAGAAGAAACTATAAAATAATATGTAAATCATTTAACCATGTTTAATTTACAGGATTTGGATGATTTGCCAAATGGCTGTAAATATGAACACTTAATTTTGTTTTCAAGGGATAAGATAAAAGAACAAGAATTATGACCAGAAGATGATATATCTTTCTGTTGGTATCAAGAGCTAAAATCTGGGATGAAACTATAACTCAGTACCTACAAAAACAACTGAATGATGGTTTTGGTGCCGACTAATAAGTCTTAGAAGATGCATGTAGATTTCTGCCAGCTACAGATTGATAAATAAGCTCTGTTAGAATGATGAGGAAAATAAAACAAAACTGAATAATGACCCTTGGTCATCATTGGATTTGGTACATGTACTAGTTAAAGTCACTTTGGGTTAAGCATTTGCCCCAAATCAGCTCTCAGATCAAAGTCCTGAATTCGAGTTAGGCAACAGACTCTTGTCCTCATAATTCAAAAAGTCCAGGAACTCTCTCCTTTTCCTAGCTGTACCCAGGTTAAAAATCTATAGAATCTCATGGGACCATATTCCCATAAGGTTTATAAAGACAATGAATGAGTAGCAGAATTTGTGAAGGAACTTAAACTATGGTGCAGGGTGTGTGTGTGTGGCGGGGGGGCTCTAATTAAAAGCAGTGATAATCAATGGAGGTTTAATGGTCCCAAACATTAGGTAGCACTTACTTAAGTCAAGTTAGCTAATGACACAGTTAAGAAATGAGCTAATGCTGATTTTCTTCCTCAAATTAAAAAACATTAGCAAAACCACAGACTAAAGGTTTACACATTTCAAGGCTGGACTGCATAAGATACTGTGCAGAGTGGAACTGTGCCTTCCCCCAGTTTGTACCTTGAGGTCCCAACCACTAGTTTCACTGAATGTAACTGTAGAAATGGAAACTTGAACAAGGCATTTAAGGTAACATAACTTCACTGAACTATTTACTCTGATTAGCCATTTATTTCACTTTCTCTCCTCTTTCTCTCACCCACCACCCCCCAAAAAACTAATACAACATGGATTTATAATCTTATATAGGTTTTAGGTACAGTCACATGGGTGTCCACATCTGTATTTGCTAATCAAAGCATAATTCCCATTCATCACTATGCAATTGATCTCACTTACCTGATTTCTCTCCTTCCTTCCCTTCCTCTCCTGATCTCGAGTATCTGGTTTCTACTGGCCTCTGTCCTTATGAGAAGAGGATATTGGGGCATGAACAGACATAAGGGAGAGCTGGTGAAGACATGGGAGGAGGCCATTTACAAGCCAAGCACAAGGGACTGGAAACTTTACCCAATAACCATCAACTAAGAGGCCAATACCCCAACCTGAACCTGGCGGTCATCCTGATCTCCCTTCTTATTCCAGAATGAAGAGAAAATACATTTTTTCATGTTCAAACCACTCCATCTTTCGTGCTTTGCCATGGCAGCCCAAGCAAAGAAACATAAAGCCCTCGCATAAGGAAGTCCTTTTCTCTCTAAGAAGTCTGAAATAAGACATAAGTTTCTTTCAAAGATAAATACACTCTTCATTATACTCACAACCCCAACAGGAAAGGCCAACACGGCTAACATCCAGTCCCGGAGAGAGATGAGTTTCTTGAGCTGCCTCTCTTGCTCTTGGTTCCCACTTCCTCTGGTCAGAAGACTAGAAAGATCAGTCAGCACACAAATGCCAAAGAAGACAGCCTGGAGAACCTGGAACAACAGGATAGGTGGTATTAGTGAATACTGATCTAAAGGGCCTCAAACAATCCATGCAACAGCAAAAAGCTATGTAAAAAGTGAGATACTTACAACCTACTTTTAGGAGTGAGAAAATTTAACTTATTATTAATTTTTATTATGAAAAGGTATTTTTTACTTTTATGTATTTATTTTAGCATTTTTTACTTCATTTTTTAAAAATGTATTTTTTTAATTGAATCACAGTGAGATACAGTTACAAAGTTGTTCATGATTGGGTTTTAGTCATATAATGTTCCAAGATCCGTCCCATCAAAAGGTGCTCTTTTAACCATAATGCTCCAAAGTAGAGAAAGAGTAAGAAGGAAATTGTCTGCCATTTAGGCAGGGGAGTGGGGTGGTGCAGGGTGGCAGAAGGGATACTGGGGACATTGGTGGTGGTAAATGTACACTGGTGGAGGGATGGGTGTTCTATCATTGTATGACTGAAACTAAATCATGAAAGATTTGTAACTGTATCTCAAGGTGATTCGATTTAAAAAAAAAAGACCTGGGATGGAAAGAAAGTTCTTTCTTGGAAGGAAAGGAGCATGGTATATTTGTTAAAGCAAGTTAAAGTATATTTGTCAGTAGTTAGTACTGACAAATTTTGTCAGTAGTTAGTACTGACAAATAAAGTACCTTCTATAGATTAAAATAAGTGCTCTTTTAATTATATTTTTTTCAAATTTTTAAAATTAAATTATCATCATCTCAGACTATACTTGTGTGTATGTGTGTGTTTCTTATATCCCACAAATTAGTGCAGTCATTCTGTGTCTGTCCTCCTTCCAACTTACTTCACTCAGCGTGATACTCGCCATGTTCATCCATTTATAAGTGAATTTCATGACTTCACGTTTTTTTCCTAACAACTCTATAGTATTCCATTGTGTAGATGCACCATAGTTTCTGTGACCCCTCCATGACATTGAAACTAAAGGCATCTTTAAAGATGAATCACCGCTGACCAAGCAAGTAGAGGCAAAGATAAACAAATGGGACTACAATAAGCTAAGAAGCTTCTGCACTTGAAAAGTAATGGCGACCAAGATACAGAGACAGCACACAGAATTGGAAAATTTATTTATCCAATACCCATCAGATGAAGGGTTAATTTCAAGATATATAAGGCATTAGTAGAACTTTATAAGGAAAAAAAACTCAACCCCACAAAAAAATAGAAAGAAGAAATGAACAGAAACTTCCTCAAAAAAGAAATACAAATGGCTAAAAGGCACATGAAAAAATTCTATCAGGGAGATGCAAATCAAAACAACGAGATGTCACCTTACACCACAGAAACTGGCACATAACAAAAAGAATAAGAACAACCAGTACTGATACGAATGCAGGAGAAAGGAACTCTCATTTATTGTTGGTGGGAATGCCAACTGGTCCAGCCTTTTTGAAGAAAACTTATATTAGAAACATTACTAATATTTTTATCTCAGGGCCAACACAAAATATGTATGCTCACACACATCTAAGAATTATCAATAGAAATAGTATCAATTATCCAAGAGAGAGGCTAATTATTTTCAAGTATAATTTCTGCAATCAAGCTATATTACTAACAATATCTACTTGTCTAAGAAACATCTAAAACAGGAAAAGGAAAGGATAAAAATGGTCTGAACAATACAGTTTAAGAGTGAAGAAATCTTTCCTATGCTTCTTTCTCTCAGGTTGAGAATTTTCCTGTCAATGGATGATGTAGAGGCAGAGAGACATAAACTGAAAAGAGTAATAAAGACAGGAAAAGAACAATTTTCTGTTGTCAAACATGAACTAAATGACCACCTTCTTGGTGTTTCTATATTTTAGGAAATAAAATTTTTCCAAATTATAGTGAATTTAGATGCCAGCATCATTTTGCCAAAAAGGAAAAAAGAAAGATACCAGTGTACATTCCCAAATCAATTACAAACTGAATTACCTGCATCAGCTATGTTTTACTCAAACTATAACAGAGAGAGAATTCTGAAAAACTACAGCTCAATAATTTGTGAAATTTCTATAGTGGGGACAAAAGTACTGATTCAGAGCTGTGAGTGGAGACAGGCAGCATACTTTAATACAGGTTGGCAAATAAACACTCAAATTAGGAAAAGGGCAAAAAATACATTCTCTGGATTCAGACCTGTACCCATTTAGCACCAAGAATAGATTCAGTGAAATTTTTCAGGTCCTTCTACCAGAAATAATTTACTGATGATACACATGAGAAAGTTACATTGTTCTCTTAAAAACTATTTTTTATTATTATTCTAAGAAAACATACACATATTATCTAGCAAATTTTCACAAAGGCAGTAAATATTCTGTGAAAGATAAATGGGTTCTTCTTTAAGGCATGGGATGAAAGGAAATAGGAATCTTAAAGTTCCCTGGTTCCATCTCTCCCTCCATTTTCTTGTCATTTTTTGTTTGTTTGTTTTTGCACACTCAGCAATGCTCTATAGTACTCATTTCCGTGCTCTGGCACCAAGCAATGAAGGGGAAATGGGTTAGTATTTGGGGCTCTCACATGCCAAGAGCATTCACTCCAGCCTATGAGTCTTCTCCCAGGTCCCAGGTTCCATCTCTTAATTAATACACATACATTAATCGCTCTGTTCACAACTCTATCTAGACTGCTTAAAAAATTTCAATAGTGAATACTTCCTCATGAAGCTTAACTAAATAAATCAAAGTCTTGGAGTACTATATATATGTACTATATATACATATAACACACCAGGCACTTTGAGTTCACCCAAGTCTGCCCTTATTAGTCAATCTTAGAGTCATGTCCTTTTCTTCCCTTATAACATGGCTTATATTTTAGCTTCAGTGACTTCATGTTTATTATTCTTTCTACAACCAGGAAAAACAAAAACTACCACAACTGATCATGGAACGATTGAAGTGTTGGCAGGAGCCGTGTTATGAGGGCCTGAAATCATTTCAGTGAACCAGAGAATAATTTTATACTTGGGAACTTTTTCATAGCATATTTGATGACATTATATGTTTAACCAACCCTAGTGGTGTTGAGAAATTGGTTGGAGTGGCCATACTATGGAATGTTTATCTCAAGGGCAATCTGGTTGGTAAACTATTACTATGTATCTTATCTGATAATTAGACATGAAAAACAAATGTAGACCACCATAAAATATCATGGATAATTAAACTATCTAATCACAATTAAATAAATGCAACTATTTAAAATTAAATTTAAACAATACCAAGAGTTACAAGGATGTTGAACAACCAGAAACATTAAGGAATAAAAATTGGGACAACCTCTTTGAAGAACAATTAAAAATATGTAATTTCTTTACTTTGGGGTAATAGTTTCTACAATAACTGTCAAAGTAACCTTGTCACATCCACATGGAAATTCACTTCAACATCCACTAATTTAAAAACATTTGAAACAATTTAAATGTTCTAAAAGTTAACTGGAGAAATTGGCTTATATTCTTAAAATGAATTCTAAGATCCTGTCAATTTTTTTCACAATATTAAATGAGAAAGAAAACCAGAGGAAATGATACATTTTGACACTTAAATTTCAAAAACTTCAAAGATAACGAATATATCATAGAAATTAATGAGAATGGATATTACTGAATTAAGTATTAATAAGAAGGGTAAGATGGGGATAAGGACAAACGAATCTCAATTATTTCTTAAGTTGATTATTTGGTATTTAAAGTTTATTCTCTTTTTTTATATATTTCATTGCTATTATTTTCAAAAACCAAATGACATATAAAAAGGGTGGTTTACATACTTTCATACTTTTAGCATTAGCTGGCTAATCCCCTTTCAATTTCTTTTCTCCAAACTCAGTTTCCCATAGTTTTAAAGATTAGCTGATATCAGTAAGATTTAATAAGTTCCAAAAGTCTAGTCATTTTTATTACTTGTAAAATTTCAGCAGCATTTTTATTTACAGGCAGAGGAAATTGACACTTGGCTTGGTAATGATGATGCATAAATATCTGGAGACCATTAATTTATTCCATGCAGCCTGGGACATGTGGAGACTTGGTGATGGATTAAGTCCAAGAAAAAGGTTCTGGTTATAACTACAGCAATACTTTCCAGAACAAGTGAATTCACTACCACTGTTCACTTAAAAATTCCATGATCAAGTAACTGGTACCAGATTTGCCTTTCCACCACAAAAAAAACAGACATTTTTACAAAACATTTCAAGCAACTTTTTCAGACACTGGACTTTTACCTCTTTACTAAAAGATACATTTCTTTCTTTTTTAAAAGTTTCTTCTAAAGAGGTCAAGCCTACTTTGGATAATTCTCATTTGCCATATAAAATAATTTAATCATGGGAGTGTATGTATACATATACAATCTTCCAAAACTCATTGAGAAGGGTTTTTACTGGCTGAATATCACTAAGGGTCATTGCATAACCTGCAAACTACAGGTTAACAATTCACACTTCTTAGGACTCACTCAAGTTGAAGAGAAAAAGTATTCAAGTTCCAACCAGTCACAAAGTTCACATTCAGCAGAGACCTGCAAATTGTCGTTTGTACAAGTGATGCAAGACTAATCTTATGATAAAGATTACACTGAAAGCAACCATAGCAATACTTGAAAAACAATTATCAGAGTGATCTACAGTGATTTAAATGCCTAGAAAACAAAATTCTACATTCTTTAAATAAAGAAAATAATTCAAAAATTACAGCTATATCCAATATTGTAAAGTTCAACATTCAGTAAAAAAATATTCGTTATGTTAAAAAGTAGAAAACGTTTAATCAGGAGAAAGCCCACTCAATTAAAGCAGAGAAATAGAAGAAATACTAATATTGGCATATTCAAACATTCACTGTATCACTGTATCACTGTCATCCCATGTTCATCAATTTACTCGAGTGAGTGCCAGTAACTTCTCCGTTCTCCAATCTCAGCCCTAAGATTTTAGCAGCCTCTACTTACTCGTCTTT